TCCATAGAGATTATAATGATTTTTGTTCTTCATTTTGTTAATGTGGTGTATCACATTGATTGATTTGAAGATTCAGAACTGTTCTTCCATCTCTGGAATAAATCCCACTTGATCATGCTGTATGATTCTTGTAATTATTATTGAATTTGGTTTGCTAATATTTTGTAGAAAATTTTTGCACCTATGGTTATCAGGCTTATTGGCCTGGAATTTTCTTTTCTTGTGGTGTCCTTGTCTGGTTTTGTATTAGAGTACTGCTGGTCTTGTAAAATGAGTTTGTGTTTCCTCCTCTTTATTTATTTTGTGGAAGAACTGGAGAAGGATTGGTATTAATTTTTCTTTCGTTTTTTTTTTTTGGCCACACAGCATGGCTTGTGGGATCTTAGTTCACTGACGAGGGATTGAAGCCAGGCCATGGCACCGAAAGTGCCGAGTCCTAACCACTGGACCACCAGGGAATTCCTGATTCCATCTTGATAGGTTGTATGTTTCTAGAAATTTATCCATTTTTTTCTAGGTTATCCAAGTTTTTGGTGTATAATTGTTCACGGTAGTCTCTTAAGATCCTCCGTATTTCTGTGATATCAGTTGTAATGTCTCCTCTTTCATTTCTGATTTTACTTGAGTCCTCTGTTTCTTGGTGAGTCTAGCTAAAGGTTTGGCAATTTTGTTTATCATTTTAAAGAACCAGATTTTAGTTTTCTTGATCTTGTCTATTGCCTTTTAAGTCTTTGTTTCATTTATTTCCACTCTGATCTTTGTTGTGTCCTTCCTTCTACTAACTTTGGGCTTCATTTGTTCTTCTCTTTGTAGTTTCTTGAAGTATAAAGTTAGGTTGTCTATTTAAGTTGTTTCTTGATGTAAGCATTTATCACTATAAACTTCCCTCTTAGAACTGCTTTTTTTCCATTATTTCACTTTTGGTCTCTGTGTGTCCTTACATCAGAAGTGAGCTTCTTATAGGCAGTACATAAGATGGCTCTATAGAGACACATTATAATTAAAATGTCAAAAGTTAAAGACAAGAAGAGAATCTTAAAAGCTGTAAGAGGAAAACAACTTGTTACATACAAGGGAACTACTATAAGACTATCGGCTGATTTTCAGCAGAAACTTTGCAGGCCAGAGGCAATGGCAAGATATATTCAAAGTGCTAAAAGAAAAAAACTGCCAACCAAGAATACTCTATGCCCAGAAAAGTTGTCCTTCAGAGTTGAAGGAGAGAGAAAGTTTTTCAGACAAGCAAAAGCTAAAGGAGTTCATCATCACTAAACCAGCACTACAAGAAATGTTAAAGGGACTTCTTTAAGTTGAAAAGAAAGGGCACTAATTAGTAACAGAAAAACATATGAAGCTATAAATCTCAATGGTAAAGGTATATATATATGGTAAAACTTAGAATAATCGAATGTTGTAAAGGTGGTGGATTAATCACTTATAAAGCTAGCATGAAGGTTAAAAGACAAAAGCAGTAAAAATAACTATAACTACAATAATTAGTTAAGGGATACAGTAAAGTATGTAAAGATAAGGAGTAAAGTATGACAGGAAAAACAGAAAATGAAGTGGGGGAGATTAAAAATGTAGACCTTTAGAACATAATGTAATCAACTTAAAATAGACTGTTATACGTTGTTATATGTAAGCCTCATGGTAATCACAAAGCAAAACCCATGGTAGATATACAAAAGAGAAAGTAATCTATGCATACGACTAAAGAAAATTATCAAATCACAAAGGAAGAGAGCAAGAGAAGAAGAAAGGAACAGAGAAACTACAGCACAGTCAGAAAATAATTAACAAAATGGCAATGTGTGTGAGTGTGTGTGTGTGTATAATTACTTTAAATGGAAATGGACTAAATTCTCCAATCAAAATGCATAGAATGGCTGAAGATGTATTTTTAAGTAAAAACAAAAAAAAAACAGGTTTCAGAGCAGTATAGGTAGATGCATAGCTGTATTTTTTTCCTCTCCAAAGAGAAAAGAAACACATGCACACATACACAAAGGTATACACATACACACATCTGTGTATAAATGTATAGAAAAATCTGGAAGGACACACAGTGCTTACTTTGGGTGGGACAGAGGAGTGTTATGGGTTGAATTGTGTCTCTCCCAAATTCATATGGAGTCCTAATCTCTTTCCTCAGAATGTGAACCTATTTGGGGATAGGTCTTTACAGAGATAATCAAGTTAAAATTAGCCATTAGAGTGGACCTTAATCCAGTATGACTGATATCCTTATAAACAGGGGAAATTTGGACACAGAGATACACAGAGATGGTATGAACAGTCCTAGCAAACTAGTACAAGGAGACACACCTTTTTAAACTTCTGTGGTGTATGACATTTTTATGACTATGTATATTACTTTTCTAATAATCAGAGCCCTCCCCCAAAACTGGGGAAAAAAATAAGAGGGCAAGACACAATGAGAGGAAAAGGGTACAAGGCATGACTATCACGTAACTGGCTTTATTCCTCCTTTATAAATTTACAGAGCCTGTCTCCTCCTACTCTCCACCCTCTACCCCACCTCCGCCCTGGCCCCAACACTGCCCTTTAGGGGGTCAGCTTGCCTGGAAGGAACCACTAACACAGGTGGCTGCTCTAGCTGAGGAGATGGTAGGGCCCTGATTTGCAAGGTCACAACCGGTATCTGTTGGTGCAAGATGTCACCAGGGTCCTCTCCCTTCATTCCACCCATCTGGTTCGGGCCTAAACAAACAGACGGAGTGTGCTATTTCTAACCAGCTAACCCCACAAATCAGAAAGCCCAACAGGCCTGCAATCAGAGTGCCTGCAAGCAGCCGGCTAACTTTTACAAGCTCTGGCCCCTCGTTCACATGGATGGCACTGTGGCAGCCTGTTTGAAAGCCACGCTCAAATAACAAACCACCCTGAATCCCTGGGAAACAGAACTCTTGTGACAACACTTTGTCCCCTGGGAAGATCTCCTGATTTTCTGGGGGGCGCCCACCATTAAGGGTGAGTCGTAACTAGCAACGGGAGTGCAGCAGGGAGAAACAGAGGCCCAGGAGATGAGGCCACCGACTCACACCCCAAAGGCCACAGAAGCGGGGCTGGAGGTTGAGGAAGGCGGCTCTGTAAGGCAGGTTGTGTGCACTGGCTCCTAAGGAATCAGCCAGCCCTGTGCCCTTCCGCAGACTTCGAGGGCTGTGAAGGGATCTGGGAGGGCCAGCAACGAAGAAAAACCTAATTTAGAATTGCAGAGAGGTTCAGAAAAAGAAATCCCAACACACATTTTGTAGGTCTCCATACTCACAAAATATCCACAATGGCTTCGGCCTCCTGTACTTCAAAAGATGCTGTCCTTTCCAGGTCTTGGTGTTTCCTAGGGTCCCAGAATAGAGGAGGAATTGAGGAAGGAAGGAGCATTTTGAAGCACCTCCTGAGTATTGCACTGTAACGATAGTGTGAATTGTAATCATTGAGCCTCATGACATGCTGAGGGTGGGTATTATCCCACTTGTTACACCCAGGGAAACTGAGGCTCAGAAGGGTGACATCACTTGCCCAAGGGCTAATGGCTAGTAACTAATGACTAGTAACGTGTTTCTCTACCCCTGCTTCCTCACCTGTGAAGTGGAGATGAACCCTGTACTCCGAAGAGGGTTGAAGGAGATGACGGATGTAGAGCCCAGCTCCTGGCTGAGCACACAGGGCACCAGATGACAAATGAATCCTGTAGCAGCCCGGACTGGGCAAGGCTCTTCCTGGTGCCCACTTTTCAAACCCACAAACAGGGAGCGGGTGGACAGAGCTATCAGTGAGGCCTGGCAAGGACCTGGGCTCTGCAGTCAGTCATCTGGTTTGGTCCTTGCCTCATGAGACCACAGGTTACCTTAGTTACTTACCCTTTCTAAGCCTCAGTTCCTCAACTTCAAATAGGGATGACAGGAGGGATGTGCCTTGGAGGGTGTCGTGAGGTCAGATCTTGGGCCCCCTGAAGCTCTGGACATGCCTTCCAAGTTCTCTTTTTTTTAAAAATCAGAGCCATTTATTCAGGATTGTCATAATCAGTGAATGAATGTATACTGTCTCAGCAAATATTATTTTTCTACTTCACCAATTCTCCTTCAGAGCAATCCCTCTATTTACCATCAAACCTCTTGAAAACATGTTTTACGTTTGATGTTTTTATTGACTCCATGTTGACTCTTTACCCCCTATTAACCTGGTTTGTGCCCCTCCCAGTCTAATGAAAGAGCTCCTATGAAGTTCTCTAATCATCTCTTAATTACCAATCTTCACGGCTTGTTTCTCTCCATTCACTTTCTAATTCCCAGCATCTCCTGTCGCTTTTCACCTTTGCCAGTGGTTTGGAAAAGTCACCCCTTTTGGCAAGAGTCAAGACTAATATGAAGGGACCCCTCTGCACATCTCTTTTTAAGGCCCCTACTTGGTTCTCTAGAGAAGAAGCTGAAATTTTCTTCTGTGACCCTTAAAGGACTCCACACTTTATTTCCTTCAAGGGATTGTCACTGTAACATTTGAGTATCCAAAGATCCCATTTGGAACTGAAAGTGGGCCAAATATCACTAAAATCCAACCGCTCTGAGGAGACCAAGGATCTTGGAGTTTTAACAGTTGTGTTCTGTGAGAAACTATCTTCCAAACTCCACACACTCTCTCTTAAGGTTCAGCAGGAATCAGTGGGAAACAACCCGGAGGAAGCACAGCGGCTCCCTCTGTGGAGCACGCATGGGGGAAGCCAGGCCGAGGGAGAGGGGGTGTTCCCTGGGCGGTGATACAGCATTCTTTTCACTTGAGGCATCTGAGCCCAAGGAGCTGCAGTCTCCCCCGGGGAATATGAATGACATAACCAGAGGCGGGAAGGGCCTCAAAAACAGACCGGTGTCCACACATCCTCCTCGAAAGGAAACCCTTTCCCATCCTGTGTGCGAGAGCTCCCACGTCCGCAGAGGCTCGAACGCCACCCTGTCTCCAGACAAACATCCCAAAGCCAGCGATCTGATAGGATGTGTTTATATTTACATGGTACATTTTAAAGCAATGGCTACATTGGTCATACATATTAGAAACCATAAAAAAAAGTTAAGAACTAAAATGTACATCATACACTTGTATATATATTTTTTACACAGAGGTAAAAAGGCTTATTATAAAAAAATCAATACAACGGGGTTTTTAGTATACAGGTAAAGAATGAATTATGCTTCAGGCACTTTAATTTGTTAATGTGAGCAAATAGCTTGGTGGGTTTTTTTGGGGGGGGGTGGGGGGAGGTTCGGGGAAAGCTTCCAAACAAACTCTTTTGGTTAATGTTTTGTTACCACAGATACAAAAATAAAATCTGAATAATTTCTCTTAGGTGGTTGACATCAGTATGGCAAAGCTGACTGGGAAAATACTACACACGGTTAGGCTGCAGTGTGGCAGTTAGAGAGAGACGTATTTACATAAATGTCCCCATGGCTGTCCTTGTACCTTCTACACAAACGAAAAAGGATACGCGGAGTAAGAGTCACTAGCGTTAACTCTTCAAAGGGGTGGAAAAGGACAAGGGGTAAAGGAAGATAGAAACAGATAATGAATAAACAGGGCAAACAAAAGCGGCTGGGATAGGTGTATTCTTACTGAAATAAATAGGGACGCTTGAACTGAGGTCTAACAAAACATACATTAGTGTTGTGCTTTGTAGAGAGGAGACCTTGAGAAAGACCCTGAGAAAATGCCTCAGGACGGGGGAGAAGATGGTCTTTCGGCAGCATTTGGAGGCTGGCTGAAGGTTTCTAGATGTTCTCCAGGCTGGGAAGTGGCTCTTTTCTTGCATCACCAGATTAACAGCTCTCTGCTCCTTTCCCAAACTGGAAGACCCAAACCAGTCACTTCGACAAACGAAAACGTCTACCAACAAACTCATAAGCACACTGGGTATTTACATCGGTGATCTGATAAAGAAATGCAAAGGGCTCTCAGGTGAGCTGAAAACATTCCCAGGAAGGTAAGTGTGGCTAGCACTTTCCCAATATGATTGGCAGACTAGAAAAAAAAGTCCCTTTCCTTGGAGACTGATGTCCTGTGTGCAATTGAGAAGGGGTGGGGGGAGTGGGGAGAGAGGAATGAGGCCATGCACTCAGCTGGCAATAATCACAGGAAGATCATGGTGGGAAGAGCCAGCGCTGACAAGCCTGTCCCCTATGGTCTCCACGGCGTTCTGATTGTACTGTGCTAGGTACAGGTAACCACTCTTCACTTTTCTGCAACAACATTTGGCTATTCCTTGCAATATATTAGAAAAATACTCTTTTCCAGCTAATTAGAAGCCTCCTACGTGGCAAGGCGACAGGTGGACCCAGCCTGCTGACCTAACCATCCGTGCACCCAAAGTGGCAAGTTTGGGTTTGCAGGAGAAAGACACTTAGGCATCGGAAGGGTTTTTACATATGGCCTTGTTTTTTCCCAAGTGTAAACGAAGGATTTGGTGACGTGAAATTGAGTCCAAAATGAAAACAAAAACACAAACCCATGAACAAAATGCAACCCACCACTCTTCAAATTGATGACATTTAAAATTTCCCCCAGTTAATAGAAAATAGCCACTGGGGGGAAAAAAGCTCCCATAAGTTTTATTTACAACCTTTAGCGTTTCTCAACTGGACCGTGTTCAGGAGGTTTGAAGAGACTATTTGGTTTGCAAAACAATGAGCAAAATTTCTTACTTCATTAGCGGTTTCTTCTGATATTGCTAAATTTTTACAAGTGGCGGTGACATAATTTTAAAAAGTTCTCCTTTGGGGTAACCAGGGAGGCTCGGAGAAACCTGGAATCCCCTTTCTAGCCCTGGTCTGAGAGGATGCGATGCAGTTTAAAGACTTTTCCTGATTCTCGCAAGTTAATCTGAAGTTAAGGCTCAGTTCTCAGTCATTTTACGAGAGAATGTTTTGCATCAGTGAGTAACTGACCGACTTTTTTGGGGGGAGGGGTGTGGAGACAGAAGATGATGGGCTCAAGGTAGAAACTGCAGCTTACATGGGAAGTTTGGCTTTAGAAAAGTTAAAGCGATCTCGTTTTGTGGTAGAAGTTTGTTAACTAGCTCACCTCCTACACATAATAACTGACTGCAGGTTAAAATACATCTGGCAGGGTTTCATCATTCTGGCATTCCATTTCCACAGGAACCTGAGGAAGCAAACTCGTCAGCCACAGGCAAGCTCAACCAAGAGAAAGATGGTCTTCGGAGCTCCTGGAAAAACCAACGACAAAACCCACCAAAAAATCAGCAGTTCCCACTGAAGGCGCCTTGGAACTGGACGAGGTGGGCAGGAAGGACATGAAATCAACACCTGTATGATGAGACGGTTAGCTTGATTAGATTGTTAATAATACACGAGGGTCTGGGCGGCGGCTCCTTGCCTTAGAACACTGTGTGCGCACACGTGGGTGAGACTGATGCAGGGGTGCAGAGTACGGCACCTTGGGGCTGTGGATGGAGGGCGGTGGGGAGGGAAACCGAGTCACACAGCTGCTTTGTGCTTCCCGCCGCAGCACCTGCACATCACTCCGCAGTGGTAGCAGGCCCGCAGGGGCAGGTAACAGCACATACAGGGGGCCAAGAAAGACAAGGCGATAAGGGCCATCCACCGGAGGCAAAACTTCTCGTCGCTAGTATCGCACGAGCACGGGTCTGTATAGTCCCCCTCGGGGTCTGACATACAGTGATAGAGCATGCTGTCCGCACACCACATACAGCTCACCCGGCGGATGCAAGTTCTCACGGAGTCGGGCGCATCCTGACAGTGGCCCCTCCGGTTCTCCTCGTGGTTGAACATGTCGCGGCAGTACTCGCACCGAGAGCGCTCCCCGTCCTCTTTCCGCCGCCGGGACTTGCCCCGGGAGGGCTGGGTCTTGATCACGCTGCCTCCGCGCCCTTTAGGGTCCTCGCCGAGGCCAAAGTCTGAGGAGTCCACGTAGGGGTAGTTGTAGTCGTGCTTGGGGACCTCGCCCTTGGCGAAGCGCACGTAGGAGTCCGCGTCCTCCGAGGGGTCCAGGTATTTGCCCCTCACCGGCGCGTGCCGGTAATCCTCGTAGCCCGTCATCCAGATCTTCTCCCGGGGGTTGATGCGCACGATCTCCTCGTCGTCGTCCGGGAAGCTCACCTGGCGGTAGGGCCTTGGCATCGGCTGCCCCAGGAAAAAGGAGGCGTTACTTCATAGCAGTGGCAAAACAAACCTCCGATATGCATCTTTCACCTTGGCAAAGGCATTGCTTTAAGGAACTGACCCATCCTGTAATTACTGAACAGCTTGTGGGTCAAAGATGTATTTCAAATTGTGAGTCCCAATCCCTTCCTGGGTCAGGAAGTCAATTTAATGGGTGGAGACCAGCATTTCCCCCCCTTTCTGTTGCAGTATTACCATATATGGGGGGGGAAGTATACACAGCGTAAGAGTAAAGTGAATTTTCAGAAGCTGGACATGCCCAGATCAGAAAGCAGAACTTGAGGCCTCCCTAGAATATCCTCAACCTCCCTTCTGTGACCCCCACCCCTAAGGTAAGGAACAGTGATTTCTAACAGCTTAGATTAGTTTCACCTGTTTTTGTACAGCATGCTCTCTTTTTTAAGACTGGTTTCTTTTTTGTTCAGAGAAACAGCAGAACACTAGAGTGCACTGCATATTACAAGGTAAGTACCCTTGTTATCTTTGTGTACATAACATGTGCCTACTGGGCCATGATATAAAACGCATGTGTCACTGTGGGTCATGTGCAAAACAGCAAACTATGAGGCTCAGAAGTACCTTGTAATCTGGCTGGGAAGATAAGATGTTGAGATATGCAAAGGGTAAGAGTACAGGCTCCAGAGGCCAACTGTGTTTGAATCCTGCCAGGATCTCACAGGTGGTGAGCAGCAGAGCTGGAATCTGAGCCTGGGATGGCCCAACGCAGGGCCACACCCTCTAGCCTTCAAACCCAACCTGCATCCCTTAGGGAGGAATAGTCATCTCTGCAGGTTGTCCCGTTACAGTTTGCATCAGTGCCTTGTCCAGAGGAGCAGGTGCTGAATACATAGTTATTGAGTTGATGCAGGTAAGCCTGCCTTGCACAGGGCATCCCAGTTGTGGCAAACAATGAGATTTTCCACCTTCGACGCCCTTTGAGCATGAAGGCTTTTTTTGTACGCGGGCCTCTCCCGCTGCAGAGCACAGGCTCCGGACACGCAGGCCCAGTGGCCATGACTCACGGGCCCAGCCGCTCCACGGCATGTGGGATCTTCCCGGACCAGGGCACGAACCCGTGTCCCCTGCATCGGCAGGCGGACTCTCAACCAACCACTGCGCCACCAGGGAAGCCCCGAGCATGAAGGCTTTTTAAGGGATGAGGAGCATGGCTCTGAGCAAACCCACTGGAGTGGAATTCGGACCATGAAATTTACCAGCAAGTCGCTAAGCCTCAGACTTGGTTTCCCTGACGATCAAACTGCATAGGGCTACTGAAAGAATGAAGAGAAAGAATCTGTGTGGTGTCAGCATAGGGCCGGTCACACAGGATGTGCTTGGTACCTGTTGCCAATATTGTCATTATAATATTGTCCTAGAATTTATCACATGGTGATTAGCTTTACTCATCACTTCCCACCAGACTGTGAGCTCTGTGAAGGCAAGGGCCACGTCTCACAGGCTCTGATTTGCCCTAATTCCTGCCAGGTTCTTCATGTCAGAGCTTCCCCAACTTTGGAAAATCACAATCCTTCATTATTTCAAAACAAATCTTGGGAGCTGACACAGACTTTGCTAATAATTTATTTTGCAGAGTAAGGAGAATCAAAAAGTCAATTCCCATCTATTGCTCCCATAATGTGATTTTAAAAAAGAACTTTTAATGCCAAAAATATTAGGAAGCACACACAGTAAAATGGATTTTGAAAAAAAGTCATATCAATCTATGTTATAAAACCTCAGTGCCTCGTGCTTTTTCTCTTTTCAAAGCAGACTGGTGGCCACATCACCCACGTGGGCACCAGTCCACACCCCACAGTTTGAGAACCTGCTCTGAAAAACGGCCGCTTGGTAAATATTTGTTGAATTACTGAATTCCAGCTACAGCTCCCCAAGCAAGCCTGGGCCTGCAGCCCGCGATGCCAGGGCGCTCAAGCCAAGTGTACAGTATTCTGTGGTCCCAATCGCAGTTCTGTGCTTTCACACAAAGCCGGGAGGCCCTTTGGACACGGGAACGCACAGTGTTAGCGTATGCTAACGCACAGTATGCTAGCAGGAGGTAGCATAGTGCCCTGCGTGAGCGGAGACCTGCGTTTGCATCTTGTTCCAGCAGGGACTCTGTCTCCCTAAGCCTCGAGCGTCCCCATCTCTCAACTGGGGATGCAGAGGACCTGCTTGTGGGTGATTTGTGAGGATAAAAGGAGATAAAGCACATGAAGGGCTTGGCGAGGTGCCCGGCGCACAGAAGACTCTGCGTTGAGGGTGAGTCACCCGCACCACCTCCAATATGGGGGCGGAGGTACTAAGTAGGAGAAGAGAAGAGGCCTAGGCTCTGGCGTGCAGCTGAACGCCAGGGGAAGGAGGCTGTTCTGGGATCAGGAGCCGCCCACCCCATGACCCCCCAGGAACGAGACCGCCGCTCACCTGTTCGAGGTGATAGTGGTCCGTGGGGTATGGGTCGTGGAGGTGGCCCAGGGTATAAATCCTCCGGTGCTCACAGGACGTGGGGGAGGAGACTGTGCGAGGAGGTTGTTCCCTCTTCTGAGACGAATTAGAAGAACTGTCTGTAGCTGTCTGTGTAGAAGGAGATAGCCGTGAGTTAATTAAAAAAACAAAAACCAAACCCGCACAAAAACCTAACACACCATCTACGCACACTGGTGGCGTCTCGGATTCCCCAGAATCTTGAGTTTATCCTGGCTATGGGAGGCCGGAGGACCCCTGAAGGGCCAGGTTGTTTAAACACGGCAGGCAGAGAAACCCAGCCACAGACCCTGGAAAGCTGGGTTTGTTTTCTCAAACTGTGGGAGCAGTGACCGGCTTTGGGGAAGGGCTCACAGCACCAGGCCTCCTGCTGGTGCGCTCCAGCTGGATCAAGAATGGTCACCTGTTTGTGGCCCTGGCTGCGAGGTCCTCGGGTAAGCAGAGGAGATGCAAACAAGCAAGAATCAAACACATATGTTCCTTTGTGGGGCTAATCCCAGCCTGGGGACGTCTCAGAGATGAAGGATACCTCAGGGGTATCATAGGTACTGGCTTTCCAGGAAGAAATTTTGTAATCTTCGGCTCGGAGGCAAGCCTGGGGGTCACCATCTCTGGAGAGGGAGAGCAGAGCTGTTTTCTCAGTAGAGGCGACGAGTTCAGATTGGAGCCTGCATGATGGTGTCTTAGGAAGGTGATCAGCTATCAGAATGGACTGTGGCTGTGGACAGAGCACAGGCCCTCTCGCCTCCCTGTATGCCCACCACCTAAGTGCTTCATGCTCCCCGGTGACCCCAGGTGATGGTCACTCTCCACATCCCTGGGGCCCAGGAGCCACATGCTCATAAAGACTTTTGTCAAGTACAGCTGACAACTGCCTTTAAAACCAGGGCCCCTCAGAATTCTCACTACACCTCTACTTCCTTAGAGTGATGGACCCCACCCGCCCCTTTTTTTTTTTCGCAAATAAATGCAAAGATTTTCCTTGATATCTAGGTGTCCTATTTCTGGTAAATATCTAGGAACTCCTCCTTTGCTGTTGCTTCTCACTTTTATATTCCCCTTATCGTATTTGCTTATTTATTTATCTCCTTTTATTTTCCGTTCGTGTCATAGATCCTCCAAAGAGCAAGGTAAGGTTGAAACAAATAGACTTATAAAAGTTTTATTCCCCCCCATTTATAAAGTAATAAATGCTTAGAAAAATGGGAGTATAAGTATCCAGGAAAAAGAAAAGACACCCGTATTTCCATTATGCTGCACAACTGACGTTAATTTTTAAAACCTGGTGGACACGTGCAGCATGCCTTGGGAAACCCAAGCCTCCTGGATTTTTCTTTGATTCGGTTTGGTTCATGTGATGCAGGGCTGATGCTGTTTCCAGTCCCACAATCCAGTGACTAATTCAGATATGAACACCCACACAGTCCTCCCTGAGGCAATACGGAGAGATTTCTGATGGAGAGGTCAGAAAAGATGCTGTCTGTCTCTATCTCTGAAGTTAAGAGCTAAGGGTCCTGTAAGCCTGGAATCCTGGTGAGGAGGCAGGGAAAGAAACTGTATGAGGATGAAGTGAGGCAAAACCAAGGGAAGAAGGCCCCCGCAGACACCACTTGAGCTTCTACATCCAGCCAAGCCTGAATCCTGTCCACCCTAAGATGTCCCAAAGATAAGAGCCAACTCCCTTTGATAATTTAACCCAGAATGCGTTGGGTTCGTCCCTTGGGTGCACTTTTCCCCCATTCCCGATTCCTTCTCTGTGGCAGCCTTCCACCTGCATAACATTCCTGGCCTCTCTCTCGCCTCACTCCTCTGCAGCAGGTGGAATGGAACAGGGTGTCCAGAGCCTGCTACTTTCCTCCTCTACCTCTTGGGAGCCACCCAACTGGCAAATTGCATGTGCTGGCAACCATTCTTGGGACTGTGCGGTCTACTTGGAGGTCGAGGGCCCACCCCATTGTGGGGAGGGTGTGGAGACCCAGCGCGCGTGTGCCTGGTGGGGCAGGTCTGTCTAATCCTGGGGTCCATCCCTGGAATGTCCACTTCCCACAGGTGTAAGCCAGCACTAACCTCATCAGTAAAGAAAGGGCTCCTATCTTTTTTTCTCAACTGGTTCAGAACTCAGACAGGAAAGAGTTGCTATTTACCCCTCAAATCCCAGCAACTGAAAGAGACCAGACTGATATACAAGAATTTTTACTTTCTTCTAAACTCTGGTCTGTCCTCCAAGTCTCACCCACCCTTTCCTTATGTCTTTGGAGATCCTGCCTCCCTCTTTTAACACACCGGTGGTTGTAAGTTGACAGCACGACAAAGCAAACAACCCTTAACAGTCTCACATTATGTGAAGGCTTATGATGTGTCAGGCCCTGGCTACATGTGAACACCACTGCAGGCAAAATATTGTCTCCACATCACACACAGGAAAACAGAGACTCGGAGAAATTCGGGATCCTGCCGACCAGTGGCAGGCAACCACTGGCAGGGCTGGACAGAAATGCAGACCCTGCCCCCCCAAGCACGGTGGGATCTCAACGCACCACATCGCTGCTTTGCAAACCCAGGAGAGCCCACGCCAGTGCCTGCTCTGTGTTAATCTTGGTGAGATTAATACGAGTACAACTATTCCAAGTAAGACAGTGTGCCCTGACTCATACAAACTCAGGAGAAAAAGGGATGGTGTCTCAGAATACAAAGGTTTCAAAATAAAATGGACAACCTGGAAGAAATGGACAAATTCTTAGAAATGCACAACCTGCCAAGACTGAATCAGGAAGAAATAGAAAATATGAACAGACCAATCACAAGCAATGAAATTGAAACTGTGATTAAAAATCTTCCAACAAACAAAAGCCCAGGACCAGACTGCTTCACAGGCGAATTCTATGAAACATTTAGAGAAGAGCTAACACCTATACTTCTCAAACTCTTCCAAAATATAGCAGAGGGAGGAACACTCCCAAACTCATTCTATGAGGCCACCATCACCCTGATACCAAAACCAGAAAAGTATGTCACAAATAAAGAAAACTACAGGCCAATATCATTGATGAACATAGATGCAAAAATCCTCAACAGAATACTAGCAAACAGAATCCAACAGCACATTAAAAGGATCATACACCATGATCAAGTGGGGTTTATTCCAGGAATGCAAGGATTCTTCAATATACACAAATCAATCAACGTGATACACCATATTAACAAATTGAAGGAGAAAAACCATATGATCATCTCAATAGATGCAGAGAAAGCTTTCAACAAAATTCAACACCCATTTATGATAAAAACCCTGCAGAAAGTAGGCATAGAGGGAACTTTCCCCAACATAATAAAGGCCATATATGACAAACCCACAGCCAACATTGTCCTCAATGGTGAAAAACTGAAAGCATTTCCACTAAGATCAGGAACAAGACAAGGTTGCCCACTCTCACCACTCTTATTCAACATAGTTTTGGAAGTTTTAGCCACAGCAATCAGAGAAGAGAAGGAAATAAAAGGAATCCAAAACGGAAAAGAAGAAGTAAAGCTGTCACTGTTTGCAGATGACATGATACTATACATAGAGAATCCTAAAGATGCTACCAGAAAACTACTAGAGCTAAACAATGAATTTGGTAAAGTAGCAGGATACAAAATTAATGCACAGAAATCTCTGGCATTCCTATACACTAATGATGAAAAATCTGAAAGTGAAATCAAGAAAACACACCCATTTACCACTGCAAGAAAAAGAATAAAAGATCTAGGAATAAACCTACCTAAGGAGACAAAAGACCTGTATGCAGAAAATAATAAGACACTGACGAAACAAATTAAAGATGATACAAACAGGTGGAGCGATATACCATGTTCTTGGATTGGAAGAATCAACACTGTGAAAATGACTCTACTACCCAAAGCAATCTACAGATTCAATGCAATCCCTATCAAACTACCACTGGCATTTTTCACAGAACTAGAAAAAAATATTTCACAATTTGTATGGAAACACAAAAGAGCCCGAATAGCCAAAGCAATCTTGAGAAAGAAAAACGGAGCTGAAGGAATCAGGCTCCCTGACTTCAGGCTATACTTAAAACTACAGTAATCAAGACAGTATGGTGCTGGCACAAAAACAGAAAGATAGATCAATGGAACAGGATAGAAAGCCCAGAGATAAACCCACACACATATGGTCACCTTATCTTTGATAAAGGAGGCAGGAATGCACAGTGGAGAAAGGACAGCCTCTTCAATAAGTAGGGCTGGGAAAACTGGACAGGTACATGTAAAAGTATGAGATTAGATCACTCCCTAACACCATACACAAAAATAAGCTCAAAATGCATTAAAAACCTAAATGTAAGGCCAGAAACTATCAAACTCTTAGAGGAAAACATAGGCAGAACAGTCTATGACATAAACCACAGCAAGATCCTTTCTGACCCACCACCTAGAGTAATGGAAATAAAAACAAAAATAAACAAATGGGACCTAATGAAACTTCAAAGCTTTTGCACAGCAAAGGAAAGCATAAAGAAGACCAAAAGACAACCCTCAGAATGGGAGAAAATATTTGCAAATGAAGCAACTGACAAAGGATTAATTTCCAAAATTTACAAGCAGCTCATGCAGCTCAATAACAAAAAAACAAACAACCCAATCCAAAAATATGCAGAAGACCTAAATAGACATTTCTCCAAAGAAGATATACAGACTGCCAACAAATCCATGAAAGAATGCTCAACGTCATTCATCATCAGGGAAATGCAAATCAAAACTACAATGAGATATCATCTCACACAAGTCAGAATGGCCATCATCAAAAAATCTAGAAACAATAAATGCTGCAGAGGGTGTGGAGAAAAGGGAACACTCTTGCACTGCTGGTGGGAATGTGAATTGGTTCAGCCACTATGGAGAACAGTATGGAGGTTCCTTAAAAAACTACAAATAGAACTACCATATGACCCAGCAATCCCACTACTGGGCATATACCCTGAGAAAACCAAAATTCAAAAAGAGTCATGTACCAAAATGTTCACTGCAGCTCTATTTACAATAGCCTGGAGATGGAAACAACCTAAGTGCCCATCATCGGATGAATG